GGGAGGGGGGAGGGGAGAAGAAAGGACAGGAAGAGAGAGAGAGAGAGGTGAACAGAGACCAGTCAGAAAGGACACAGGGGCACTGATAACAGAGGTCACACTGGGCTGAGGCGCCAGTAGGACCTCTGTGGTCCAGGTGAACATTCACTATTTTTTTAAACAAGATCACATATTTACAACCTGGACAACTAAAAACTAAATTTAAAAAGAAGCCAGATGTTTTCCCCACATGGGTTGGCCATGATTAGCACGATAAACAGGGAATTTTTGTGGGTTGCTAACGTCACCTCCATGCGTCTGTCCTGCACAGGGCTTTCTCTGCTGACCTTCCTCGGCAGCAATACAGCCCCTGTACAGCCCTTGGCCTTTGGCCCTCTCATCCTAGTCCACTCTGTCTTCCCAGCCCTGCTCTAATCCACATCACTTCTGCCCTTACTAGGTGGGTGCTACGCTGTCTCCAACCCACCAAGGAAGGAGGCAGTGGCAGCGGGTGTGGGCCTGGGCGTGCTGACACCGCTTGGGCTGTCAGGACCAAGTGCATATCCAGAAAGCCCTAGACATCAATTAGATGGATATGTGTGCTAGTCAAAATTCTTGACTATTCAGAATTATTTATTTCTGCAGTAGTCAATATACTTATATTTATTTACATTTATATTTCTTCTGTGATTGGAAAGAAATAAAAAATTTAAGAGGCAAAGAATGGTTCACTGTCAAGGAAAGCGAAGACAGCTGCAGCAGAGGTGGGGCTGCAGAAGGAGGCTTTGGGCTTGTTATCTGAGCAGAAGCCTCAGCATTTGGGGCTGGGAGTGTAGCTTAGTGTACCTGCTAGCATGCACCAGCTCCTGGGCTCCATCCTCAGTACTGAGAGGGAGCAAGGGAAGGAGGAAGGCAGGGAGGGGACTGATTCCGTGTTTGGCTCTTCTTCCTGAGAGGGCTGCTAATGGGCATAAAGGTGGGCACACGGCAGGCAGGCAGGCCAAGAGGGCAGGAGCAACGCAGAGAGCCGAGGTTTTCTATGACAGATTCCTTGGTGTCAGAAAACTGAGGGCAGACACTAAAGCTCAGAACAGGAGACCAGGAAATCCAGGTGACCAAAGAGCCAGGAAATCCAGGTGACCAAAGAGCCCCGTTCTCCAGCTCCCTCCCTCCCCCAAAGTACAGTACCATCCCCTCCCTGCCCCAGCTTTGGACACCCAGCTGCCTGGAGCCAGGACAGAGACCACTCAAGGAAAGCGAAGACAGCTGCAGCAGAGGTGGGGCTGCAAAAGGAGTGGTTGGGGGCTTGTTATCTGGGCAGGAGCCTTAGCAGTCAGCATGGGGCCTCCTAGGTCTGCGCCCTTCTGTGTGCTACCTCTGAGGTGGCCCAGCTCAATGCTCCCAGGGGCCTCATGGCACTGTTTCCTGGGAGCAAAAGCAGCCCCTGACCCGCTCTGGCCACAGTGCCCTTCCTTGAGGGTGGCATCTCGACCCATCGGGTTGCCCGAGCCAGCCACTGGGCTGCCAGCCCCTGCTGATGTCCTCCGTGTCCATTTCCCTTTATGCATTTCTCCCCAGCTTCTCTCTGCCACCCTGCCCACCTCTGTGGGAGCCACGGGCTCTTCAGGGCAATGCCTATGCCTTTGAACCAGTCTGCCCACCTGCCTTAAGAGTGGTGCTTTCCTTTTCTAAAATTGTTCCTCGAACTGAAGTGTAACATAAATCACATAAAAGGGGGACAATATGTAAATACACAAGAAAATTCTCAACAAGTGAATGCATATTTGTTGTCCCACCCTGGTCAAAAGTTGGAAGACTAACAGACCTAGAAGCGCCCAGAGGTGCCTCCCAGCCATGACACCTTACTCCTGTCTCAAGGAAGCCTGAAGAAGTGATGATCCTTGTCGCCATCAAGTCCCATCATGCCACGGTGCTCACTTCTGTCCCCTCCTCATGGAATGCAGACCAAATTCTCGACCAGGGCTCTGTGGCCAGAGCACAGCCAGCCCCACCAGCGCCTCCTCCCTCTCCAGACGCATCTCCCGGCCCCTGGGGCCCAGGCAAACAGGGCTTGGAGCTCCTCCACATGGTGGGCCATTTCCCACCACAGAATCCCACTATGAGGTTCTCCACCAGCCCTCACAGCCTGGGTGACTCATGTTCCTTCTTTAGGGCTCAGCTCGAACGTCAGCTCTTCAGGGAAGCCTTTCTGCCTTTCCCAAAGAGGTTGTGTCCTGTTCCCTTGAGCCCCTGAACCTCCACTTCCTAGCACTTGTCGTGGCTATAACTACATGCGCATGCATGTGTCCTGGGGGCTTTCAGCTGCCCCCTCTCCAAAGCAATCAACACCACTCGCTGGCAGGTGTGGAGCTGAGAGGCTGAGGCAGTGATGCCCAGGGGTCAAGGGCTGGCTGTCCCACGCAAACACTGTGCCATCTCGGAGGAGTCCTCCAACCCCATGAGGGTAGGAATAACTCAGAGCCCCCTCTGGGGAAGAACGTGGCTGGGCCCATCTTGGCCACAGCCTCCTCTCTGAGCAGCGGCCTCTCCTGCCTGTCCCTGGAGAAACCACACCTGTGCCTCAGGAGTAGCTGTGCTTGGGGTCTGCGTGTGGAGCCGCCTGTCATGGCTCAGGCTTCCTGCTGGCATCCAGAGAGACCAGGAGTGGGGGAGCAGGAGGAACTTCGGTCATCTTCCCCCTCAGTGCCCCGGGGGAACGTGGAGTGAGGCTGGCAGTCCCCACGCCTGGGGGCAGCACCCAGGGTGGCTTTCCAGGGGGCTGTGGTCGGAAGGCCCTGCTCGCTCTGCCTCCAGCACCTCTGCCCACCCGTTTCTCTCCACATCTGTGCATTCCTCCTCCTTCCTTTCTCTCTGATTTGGGCCGAACAGCTCATGCCCTCCCAGGACCTCAGCCTGTGGCCAGACTCAGAGATAAGGTCTCTGAAGAGTGACTGGTCTAAATCGAGGCCATGAGGGTGGGCTCTTGTCCAACCTGGCCTCCTAAGAGGAATGCATTTGGGCACATGGACACCACTCAGAGACACAGGAGACAGATGGCAGGCCATGCGAGGACACAGTGAGGAGGCGGCAGCACGCACCAAGGACAGAGGCCTCAGGAGAAGCCAGCCCTGCCAGTGCTTGATCCTGGACCTCCAGAAGTGTGAGGGAAAATTTAAAGCTGCCGTTGATGCCATGGTTTGTCACAGCAGCCTTCGAAAACCACTGCACCCCGGTCCCCTCCTTCCTCTGCCTTGCTCCCTGTGAGTCCTTCCCCTCCCTTCCTGCATGAGCTTTCCCGTCACATCCCTGCCACACACAGGAAGGCAGGACTACCGGTTTCACAGCAGAGCTCCAGACTCTAACGTGCCGCAAGTTCCCTGGATTCCCCAGCCTGCAGAAAAAGCAGTCAGCTCTGACCATGCCTCATTCCCGGCCTCGGACAAGGCAGGCACAGAAAATCCACTTACCTGTGAGAGGATGTAGTTTGGAGCTGGGGGCACAGGCCTGCTTGGCGGGGGTTTCCTGGATGATTCCTTTCTCTCTACTTGAGCTGTGGACCTTGAGGGACCGCCATCAGTCCTGCTTAGAAGGGCTAACCGTGGTGTAGGCAAAGCCCCACTTTGCAGAAAGTCTGGAGGGGGTGGAGGTGGAGGCTGGGAGGGCTTCCTCAGCACTTCCGGGGTGCTGGTCACCTGTGTGCACAAAACAAGGAAGCAGCAACGCGCTCAGATCTCAGGTGTACGCTCTGAATCTTATCAAGATGGCTGGGGAAGGACTGACAGGTGGGCCTGTAGGCTAGGATCGCAGGGGTCACATGCAACCTTACAGGTAATCAGGGGACGACAGGATCAACAAGCATAATAAATGGCTTTTATTATCAATCCCAGGGCTCTTAGTAAAGTCCAGAAGAGACCTGAGGGATACAGATGGAGCAGAGCTCCCAGGCCCTGGGCCCTTACCTTTCGCTTGCCTTGCGGCGTCTGCAGCTTGAACGTTGGGTTGGCGTGGCCAGTTCCACCACCTGGAGACACCCTGAAGGGACAGCTGGAGACAGAAGAGGGGAGGTGGGCAGGCTCAGCAAGTGGACTGATGGAGTCTCTGAGCACTTGCCTCAGGCCTACTCCGAAGGAAGAGAGACTGGCCTCTCACACCCCATCTTCCTGGGCAAGGGCACTGTGTGTGGCCTTGGAGAGCTCACAAGGAAAGAGTGAGCCTCACACAGCGCAGAGCTTTCTCAGAAGCCTCTTTTTACCTGCTGAAGAACTTCGACCCCTAAGCAGACAAAGGATACGACCAACCGTCAGCCAACCCCCCTCAGGCAGGAATCCAAAAAGACATGAGATTTAAATCCCTCTCAAAACAAGTGTAATATAATAGAAGACTCAAAAATATACACCTTCAATAACCAAAGAAATGAATCACTTAGGAAAAATATTGATTTTCTTACTGGGTTGATTATCCAGCCCCCACCCCTTTGACTTGGGCTAGTCACCCCTTTTCTTTTGCCTAGCTACCCATTCCTTAAAATAGGGGGTGCAGGGTGTGATGGTGTTCACTAGTAATCCCAGCACTTGGGAGCAGAAGCAAGAGGTTTGCCACAAGTTCGAGACCAGCCAGTGCCACATGATGTCTTCAGCCTGAACTACATAGTGAGACCCTGTTTCAAAAAACCTAAATACATAAATAAAATTTTTTAAATGGAGGGCAAACTGCTTAGTTAAAAATGTCAAATTCTGTATTTCAACTTCAATTAGTTAGAACATTCTGTCTAGGATTTTAAAGGGATGAACACGCTCAATAGAGATGATCTACAGTGAGATCATTTAGTAATGTCTGTCACAGAAGACCTTTTATAGAGAGATCATCTAATAATGTCTGCCATGGTCACAGGGCACAGCACGCAGAAGACGAAAGAAATGATCATGTACCTCACATTCATCTTCCTGAACTAGAACCACTACCAAAAACCTTATCATTAGCACTGCTCACAGGCAGCATGGCATACAGAAGGGTCACACATCCTTTGAGTCCCTCACACATCCTTGCATACCTGAACTGCTGCATCAGCTTGGATGGCAGCACGGAGGGCTTGAGCTGCGCCAGCTTTCTGTTCTGTCTGCAGTAGCAGATCAGCACCAGGACGACCAGCAGGAAGATGGCACTGAACACGCCAGCGATCACAGGACCAACACCTTCCAGAGGAACCCAAGGGAGAGAGTTAGAGGCCACTCAGGCCTCTAACTACAGCAAAACACACAGTCCTGCTGCTTCCTCAGACATTTGATTCTCACTTTATGTTATACTTATCTTAAAACTATAAAAACCACAAATTATATACTACCAGGATATCTCGTAGGTGCTAAGTACAGATGTTATAACATACATGCCCTATAGCCACTTCTATTTCATTGAAAAGATCTCTTTAGAGGCAGGAAATTCAAGCTCTACTATGGTTTGCCCACAGTTTTCAGCCTGAGCCATGATTTTCCTGGACGCAGAACATGGAGAGATTTACACTGGTCTAAGACTAGAACTCTCACCCTTGATCCACAATTTCACATTTGGTTTCACCAAAACTGCCCCAATGTTCTCACAAATTATAAATTTAAACATGCAAGGACATTTGCTCTAATGAGACATACTTTTATCTGCGCTTCACCTTAGGATTTGTTCCTTGAAAGTTTTTTCTTTTCAAAGTACTAAACAAGTAAAGGTTCAAAGCCAGAGGCTGGAGTCAGCGATTCCCACTAAGAAGCCCAACCCTTTCTGTGCCTGTTTCCTCATTTCAGTCTTGTTCATGATGATCTTCAAGGGCCCAGAAAAGGACTCTGAGTAGTCACACCCCTCCCTTCAAAACAGAGGTGACCAGTTAGTGCCCTGGGGGTGTGGTTGATCTCTCCCTCTACAGAGTGCCACCTGTCCCCGGGGTGCCCACCCCTCTCACAAAAGCAGGCAGAGGCTACAAGCAGCCAGCACTCACTGTTGGGGGGCAGGGGCCCACTGTCTATGCTGCCCCCATGGCCAGGCGTGTCGCAGGAGGGCGGGGCCCAGCCTGGGAAGCAGTGGCAGTTTTGGTTGTTGTTGCAGACCTAGAGCGAGGGTGGGGTAGAGGTGTCAGCCCCAGAGAGCTCCAGGTGTCACCCCCATTCTGCCCCATGCACGACACCAGCCCCCAGGTGCACACACCCCGTGACCATTGCACTTCTTCTCACAGCCTGCAGTCTCAAAGATGGAGGTGTTCCTGCACTGTCCCTCGAAGCAGACCTGCAGTGAGAGGGAAACACAGACATCAGCGTGACACAGGGGACACTGGGCAGGAGACAGGCCAGGGGGCTGTGCACCCAGCAGGGCAGCCCACTGGGGGTGGTAGAGTGGGAAGTCAAAGAGCATTTGTGATTAGACAGAGAGGGCAACAACTATATTGCTAAAATATCATATTTAATACCTGTACAATGTTATATATAACTACTATATTGGTGAGTTAAACTATTCACCTGCCAATATGTACCATTTTTAAAAAAAATTTATTTATGTGTGTGTGTGTGTGTGTGTGTGTGTGTGTGGCCAGCTCAGCCCACCAGGGGGCGGGGCAGGCTGGCATGTGGTGCTGGGGGATTGAACCGCGGTCCCTGTGCTTTGCTAAGCTTGTTCTAAGTAGGTGCTTTAGACCACTGAGCCATCTCATCAGCCCAATATGTACCATTTTACCATTTAAAAATGATTCTGAAGCAACGTACACTGTGCTGGAAAATATACCAAGTGCTTCATATGTTTTCTACTTCCCTATCATAATTAACTATGGCATACTTGCCAGTATTTCCCTGAAGACTCCCTAACTTAAACCATTTTAATACAGATGATAACTAATGGGAAGCGAGACAATGTGAATAGTGAGCCCTCTAGGTGCCTTTCTTACATGACCTGAACTAAGCCTTAGCCTGCGATGACTGTGTGGATTTACCAGATTGTAAATCCAGATTGCACTGCGTTGTGTGGATTTACCAGAATTAATTGAATGGGTCCCTACTGAAAGGCACAGAAGTGGTTATTACTTCAATTAGTAACAAGTGTAGTTAACATCGCTGAAAATACATCTTCACGTACATATGCAAGTGCAAACGTGGGCTGTTTCTAAGCGGTAGAAGTGACGCGCCCTATCAATGCACTTGTATAATGGTAGCAAGCCAGTGTGGTCAGGAAGGCTTCTCCTACTCTCACTAGGTGTTCCGCCCCATAGTTCTCTTCCTTTCATAGAAGGAAGCTCAGAAGTCGGGGAGGCTGGGATTTGAGCCTAGGCTTTGTGTCTCGGTTTACCCTTTCTGCAGCTCATGTCCTATGAGGGGGTGGGGGAAGGGACTCACGTGGTTAAAGCCACACTTTGTCCCAGTCATCACCAGTCCTGGGTCCAGCATGTCACCCTCTTCAGGACCTCGGTAGACATGGGTGCCCCGACATTGGATCTTCTTCCCATTCATGACGATGGTGGTCTCAATGGCTACTGCGTTGGACTCCAGGGGCAGCTCTCGAGAGCTCTGACACTGGATCTTCCCACACTTGGCATCCCTGTACACGTGAGGGAGATGGGGACAGAGAATCAGAGGCCGGGCCCCATGCAGCTTTAGTACTCCTGGCCAAGGCAGCAGACTTGGGGGAGATAAAGAAGAAGTCTGGGGTAACGTGGATGCTGTGGAGGTCCACCAGGAGAGATCCCATGGGGGTTGGGATCAGGAGATGGAAGGGACTTCATGTCTATGGGCAGCTCTAGGCAGGGAAGTGGTTTTGGCAAATCCTAACTTCAAGCACACTTGCGTGACCTCGGCTGTCTGTCCCTGATGCTCTCTCTACTGCCACCCATCCAGGCACGCCGACCAGACCTGGGCTAATTTGACTCCTCATCCTCCCTTGCTCCTGAATTTAAGCAGCTTTTGAGCCCTGTGCCCTCCCCTCCATAGCCACTGCAGTTCATACCATGTTACTCTGTGGCCCGGGCTTCACGGACCTGCTGCTTTCCCTACCTCTGGTCTTGCCCTGTCAGAGGGAGTCTGTCTTCTGCTGTGTTTTCACACCCAAGTCCAGACCCTCACCAGTCATTTCAGAGGTTCAGATGCAGCCCCAGCATGCTGTCCCCATGCATCTCACAGCCCCCTCTCCTTCGCATTCCAAAGTTATGCCCTAACTGTATCAAGTTGCTATTAGCTCTTTCAACTGCTAGCTCTTCTCCAACCACTTCTCTCACTAGACCACAGTTATCACCCACCAGCACCTCGCCCATCCTGTGCTTCTACTTCAGGCTCCATTCTAACCTCAGGCGGAGTGGCTCCTTCTACATTTTCATTAGCACATGCTATTATTTATTAAAACCTTCACAAACTCAGCACTGTGTCTTGCACTGTAAACACTCAATGTATAGTGAGTAGGTAGACAGACACATGGACAGATGATGGATGGATGGATGGACAGACAGGGGTAGGTGAAAGGACAGGATAGGGGGATGAGTGGGTGGATGAATAGATGAGTAAGTGGATGGGTGGAGGGATGGATAGTTGGTTAGAATGAATGAGTGAATGAACGAATGAATGATCTATTCAGATAAGGGCATAATCAGCATTCTGTAAATGATCCATGAGAGCCCTGCTCTACAGTATGACAGCCCGCAAAGGAGGGCTGACCAGCTTTCTAGGAAGCACTGCCACCCACACCTTCTCTCTGACCTCTTCAAGCCTGAATGCTGCATTGTAAACCACAGCCTAAGAACAGACACAGGCTTCCACGCCTCCTGCCCCTGCCAGCTCTGGGGCCATCGTGCTGCGGAGCAGGGTGGCCGTGAGCAGGGCAGAGCAGGAGCGAGCTGGCCACTGCCCCTCCCACGGGGCCTTTACCTCATGTTGCACTTCTTGTTCTGCCCATGCACGTCTTTCCCACAGTTTCCAAACTCGTCTCCTGCTACGTTCACCTTCTCAAAGCAGAGATCTGGGGCAGGCCGGGCTCCTGGTGCATGAGAAACAGTGCGAGTCAGAGGGGGCTGACCCAGGCCCCCAAGGGCCAAGCCAGCCTTGGCAAGCCGGTGGGGTCAGGGAGGCTTGTCCCACTCCTGCCACGTGTCGTGCCCCATGTTCTCTCCAGGACCAATTGGAGAGCATGTTTGGTGTTTGTGGTTATATCCTACCAAGGATCTGTATCTTCGGGGGCTCGTATGCTATACCTACTGTCTCACTAAACAGTGCTGTTGCATTTCAGTATTTAGCAATAGGTCACGGAAGGAGGAGGCCGTGAAGACGTAAAGAACATCTTTGGAGCTTTTCCTTAGCGCCATCCCGGTCCTCCTACTCCGTGTGCTGCTAAAGCAACAGTTAGTGGGGAGCTTTCTAGAAATAACTGTGTTTCTGTATTCTGCATCCTAGATACAGCCTGGGTGTGTCTTCTAGAGATAGCCTAATAAAGAAGGACGTATATTCTATTTATATTCTCTCCACTGTTCTGTGCCTCCCATTTTCACTTAGGTTGATGTGGGAGATGCTTTTACTCCGTGTACAGAGCCGCCTCCTTTCATTAGCCATGAAGCACTGGATTGTGTGGATTTACCAGAATTAATTGAATAGGTCCCTACTACAAGATTTTTATTATTTCAATTAGCAACAAGTACAATTAACATCGCTGAAAATATATCTTCATGTACATATGCAAGTGCAACTGTAGGCTATGTTTCTAAGGAGTAGAATCGATGCACCCAAACAGCACATTTAAACTTTTTCTATCTCCGAAATGCTTTCCACGGTGGGTGCGCCTATCTGATCCTCACACCCTCTGCAGCATCATATTATGGTTGTTGTTGTTCTAGTACAACTTTGTAGTCTGATACATGAAAGATTCCACCTTATATTGGTCCTAATTTGTGGTCCCTTAATGACCTTTTCATCACTTAAGGGCCATTCGCATTTGCTCTTCTTTTCCCATCATTTTCTCCTTTATATCTGGGTTATTGTTACCAAACAGCTGACTAGGAGAACTAAAAGCTCCAAAGGACTGGTTCTTCCTGGTCTCCACCCTGAGTCAACAGGAGGAAGGAGGGGAGGTTTTGTTGTTTTGTTTCATTTTGTTGCACTGGGAAGTGAGCCTAGAGTTTCACACTTTGATTCTCAGTTTGAATCTATTTGCTTCATGGTAGTGGGGTCTGACACGTGCCAGCCAACAGCTCTCCTGCTAAGCTACTGAGGTGGCATCTGGACACTTTTCCAAGCCAAGCTGTTACGCAGCTGGCAGGCGGGGCTGCTCCGTGGTGGGCAGTGGGTGCAGGCTGCACTCCCCACTCCCCAGTTAAGTCCTTACCAGGGCCCCAGAGCTGCCGGCACTGGTCCCGGTAGGTAAGGCACATGCCGCTGTAGCAGTAGGCCTGCCCGCCCTCGCAGAGGGTGCCATCCATCTGGTAGAAGTTGGTGGGACAGAGGGGAGACTTGCCCGTGCAGTACTCTGGAAGGTCACACTGCTGGGCCTGGTCACGGCACAGGGTGCCAGGCGCCACCAGCTAGGAATGAGAGGAAGAAAACAGCCGATGACTTCCCTGTCCTCAGCCTTGCCCGCCGAGACCTCACCCACGTCGCTTGTGCCCAACGGAACTTTCACCACCATTATTTCGCAGCGCTTTTATGCAACCTCTATAGCTCAGATCATCATCAGTCTTTGAATAAAAACAGTGACTAGGGCTTTCAGAGTACTTTTACAAATGTGGTTACTTCCTCTTCATGGCAGTCTTGAGAAGAAGAAGGTAAGAAACAATGTATGTGCAACAATTTACAATTTACTGCAAGCTTTAGTAATAATCAGGAGCTTTACATAGCTCCCTGGTAAATGCCCAGTATCAATATTATTTTACTTCATTTTCTTTTAAGTGTGTTTAGAACAGGTCTATAGGGTCTCACTACACTGATTAGATTCGTAGTGATCCTCCTGTTTTCAGCCTCCCAAGTGCTGGGATTACACGGGCGTACCGCCATGCCCAGTCTCAGTCAATGTCTCAGCACACCCTGGGGGCAGGGCCGGCACAGCACCCGGGGATCAAACCTTGGGTCCCTGCTCCTGCTTAAGCAGGTGCTTTAGTCTGCTAAGCTATCTGGCCAGCCCTATTTCACTTCATTTTCATAGTCCAACATAATATAACTATCCCCAGTTTGGAGATGGTGATGCCTGAGGCTTACAGAGGATGCGCAATGTGTCCAAAGTTACACAGTCAGTAGTAAAAGAGCCAGGGTCACCGTTAAGTGCACACATTCGGCTAGCATTCACACTCCATGTTTGAATTTACAAAGCACTTCAGCACAGATCAGCCCCATCACTGAGCCGAGCACTAGGTGGAATATGGTATACATACTTCTGTGCCTCTCACAATATCTGTAAGAGGGGTGCTGCTATTTGCCAACGTTGCAAATCAAATAATCAAATCAATAGCATACACTGGGAAAAGGGTAAAAACTAAATTTCCCCCTGAATCTTCCAGTAGCCTTTAGTGGTCGAGGTTACTACACTCTTCCCACTTTATAGAAAAGGACCTAGGCTCAGATGGTTAGGAAATTGCCAAAATCACATAGCCAGGACCGGAAGTCAAGGTCTCAGATACCAGGAATCTTTTGCAAGGCTCCAAATGAAATAACTGGGAGTGGGTGAAGTGGTCACATTCTGTGCTTATTCTTGGGCCTGCTCTAAACTTGAAGGACCACTCCAGAGAATACTAGGCCAGGCCAGAAGCTCTTCAAGCTCAACTTGGATCAGGTGGAGAAGCCAAGGACTGAGAGGGAAGCCTTCCCTGGCTCCTGAGGGGCCACACCGCACACAACGGCCCCACAGGAGACAAGGCAGGTGGGCCCTTCCTTGGCTAATCTCAGGCCTGGCTGCTGTCTGAAAGGCCCCAGCTGCAAGGGCGGACAGGAAGAGGAAGCGGAGGCGGAAGCTGAGGCAGCCGCTCGCCCACAGTCCAGGAGAAGGGTGTGGGGACAGAGGACTGGCTCTTCAGCCGTCCACCTGGTTCACGTTCTTCCCTCCTTGGCCAGCAAGGGACCCTGGCCAGCCACCCAACCTCTTTCTGTTCTTTCACCAACAGTTGAGATCCCAGCTCTGGCATGTGGCTATTAAGAGGAACAGCTTATAACAAAGCACTTGAATGGTATCCGGCACATAATGAGAACATGATGAATAGTGGGAGGAACGCAGGTCCCTAACTCCAACCGAAGCTCTGAGGCCAGCTGGCTCCGATTCTCGGTGTCAATATGATCCATATTTCCAGTTACTATAACGTGTGTATATAAGTGTACATACAACATTGTATATATACATAGATACATATGTGACACATGTACACATATGACTACAAATGTATGTATGTGTACAGTTCCATATTCACATTACCTATGTGTACTACATAACCTTATAGCAAGGCCTGGGGAAAAAAACCTTATGACCAAACAGATTAATTTTCAATTATTCCCTTTAGCTGTGATTTTTCTTTTCTGTATTTAGGACAGGGTCTACAAGGTCTACAGGGTCTCACTACGTAGATCAGACTCCTAGTGGTTTCCCTGTTTTCAGCCTCCCAAGAGTTGGGATTACAGGCGCACCACCACACCCTGTCTCAATCGCCATCTCAGCGGTTCATCCCCGGATGGAACCCCAGCCGCTGCACTCTGCCTAAGCAGGCGCTTTAGTCTGCTGAGCTACCAGGTTGGCCCTTAGCTGTGATTTTCAAAGACTATAATTAGCATCATCAATTCAGGTCAAGTTTTGTCATTAAATGTGATAATTTTTTTTTTTCTAGATTTGAGAACTTCATGGATTTCAGAACATGGGTAAGAGACTGTGGGGCTATGTTAACATTAACAGCAACCACCACTTCTCTCCCACATCAACAGCAGGGACCCAGACTCCAGAGGCAGGGAGGCTGGCTTCAGGCCCTTCCTGCCTGTTTCATTCCAGATGAGTTTCCCACACTGCCTTCGCCCCAGCTTCCTCATCTTCAACTGAGGATAATCACGCACATGTCCTGGGCTTCTGTGTGCACTGAACGACGTACCCTGCACCAAATGCTGAGCATAGTGCCTGGGCTCTACCAAGACATGCCTTAATGCCAATCAGACTTATGGAGTTAGGTGCTCAGATAGTATCAAACCTACTGTCTGTAGGCCTGTTTCAAAACTTTTTTTGCCATCCTCAGGCGGCACCATCCTTTGAGGCAGTCTTAATTCAGTGAGCCCCATGGGGGAAAATAGTAAAATTAGTGAAAAGAGCTGCTTCAGTTCCAAGTGTCTGAAACTTGAATTTCCTTTCTCCACCTTCTCACCCCACCCCAGCACTAGGGATGGACACTGGGGCTTCCAGTGTGCGAGGCAAGCGCTCCACCACTGAGTCGCCGCACCTGGAGCTGTGGTGGTGTCACTGCCCCAGGACGGAGGTTGGAGCTGGCCATCACCAGAGCTGCTGGGCCAAGGCTGCAGGCCGGGGAGGGGCCACTCACCTTGCACGCATGGCAGCAGGCACCGTGGGCACACTCTGCCCCTTCCTTCAGGGTGCAGTTGGAGGCATTACAGCAGGGGTTGTTGCATTCCTGAGGGCAATAGGTGGGCATGAGTCTTTGGGGCAGCAGAGCAGAAGTCGGAGCAGGTGGGGGACAGCCTTCACTGCCACCCCTGGCCCCAGCCTGCCCTACACAGCCTGGATACCTTGCCAAGAACTCCAGAACTCTTTGGGAAGACATCTCTTGGCAGCTTTATCTCTTGTGAGTTTATCACGGAAAATATACACAAGCACAATCCTCAGTCACACCACCACTTAAACAACTGCATTCCAAACATGACTTTTTCCCCATGCACCTATGCTGACACTTACTTTGCAAAGTGTAATAGTCACACTGCTCCTAATACAATTCCCTCCTTTCTGAAGGCCCTGGGCTGAGCCCTCTCAGATCCTGATGGCAAGAGTGGTAGCATCTTTAATAGTCCTTGTTTTATTCAGAAAGCTACATGTTTGTGCTGAAAGCATATCACACCTCAGAGATTAGAAGATCAAATCGTTTTACCCACACATTCGATCCTCCCTCTACTGCCATCACTTTCTGTGACTCTCGTATTCTTCCCCAATTTTTGTGCATGGGTTAGCATACATATTTTCACTCTTCCAAAAATAGAGATGAAACAAACCAGTTCCGCTTTCTTGCAGAACAACATGCTTCTGTTAAAAATGACAGTCACGCTGTGTGCTCTGCACAGTTGCTTTTGAAGATCAGGAGGGAAAGCACGCTTGCACAGAGCCTCCTGCTCCCTGTCGAGCAGCCCCTCAGCTCCTCCCCACTCCCCTTCACTCACACCTTCCCCCAGATAAACAGCAGGAGCCTGCTATGTTATGCATCCTCGTAGGGCTCATGCTCAAGTTCATGAACCTGGCTGCCTGGCTCCCACAATAAGGTCAGCACGGCTGCAGGGCCAAGGAGGCCATCGGAGCCCTCCTGGAGGGGAAGGAGCCACTGGATTGTGCTTTCTGGTAGACCAGATGCTCACTAGATCCCCGCCCTGATCCCAGACATCAAAAGTGCCAAACACAAGCTATGAAGGCTACAGCAGCCTGCATCTGGAAGGCTTAGTGACCACACTGTACGTGTGTGTGGGGGTAGGGAGGGTTGGTAGGCATATGGGAAAGGCCAGTGACTAAGAAATCTTATCCATCATATTCCCTTTGGACCTCAGGCTTGGAATGGATGCACATTCGTCCCTCCTGCTAGCACCACTGGGACACTCACCTCTTTCTCCCCACAGTCACACTCCTCCCCATCTTCCAGGAATCCGTTCCCACACCACCGGCCTCCGTAAAGCATCCTGGTGTCCGGCATGTTGGACAGACACATTCCACCTCCTGACTGCAGGTACCGATCGAGCTCCTTCTTGTTGCAGCCACTGAACACCCTGGGGAAGGGGTCGCTGGTGGGGAACAACGGAGGGGAGAGTTGGAGTCTGCACAGCCAGCAGCCAGGGCAGCTGCCAGTTGTGCCGTGAGGCTGACTCTCCCCGGGCCCCCAGAGTGCCACAAACGCATGGTGTGTCTCCTCAGCAAGCTCATCAGTGCATTAACTCAGAACGCTTTCACTCTTCATCATGAAATGCTAACCATCTCATAGTATTTTATGTTCCTTACTCTGTATGGAAAGTAAAGGCATTTGAAAAGAACAGAACCTTCTGTCATTTGAAGGAGTTGTAATGGAGAAAAAAATATGAATGTGTTACAATAGTTCTCAAGCCCCACAGCTGACCTAAACTTCTCTTAAAGCCAGTACCACATGGATATATTTTTTGTTACAGAGGACCAGACCAACAAAAGCCAAGATCATGGCTCTAATTTCTCCAAAGACCAGTGATCTGTTCTCTGTTCTGCAATGTAGAGCACACGCCAACTGAACTCGCCAATTCATAAGTACACAGCACTGACCAAAGAGGGTGATTTCTCAGTCCCTCATCACTGGGAAAAAAAACCCCAAAGCTACAGTAGTTTCCCCTTCTCTGCAGTTTTGCTTTCCATAGTTTTAATTGCCCCCATATTAAATGGAAAATTCCAGAAATAATTTGTAAGTTTTAAATAATTTTTATTATACTACTTTACCATAATTATTTTACTTTATTAAAGTTTTTAATGTCTAATTATACCTGCTTCACAAATTAAACTTTCTCAAGAAAAAAAAACATAGTAAACATGGTATTTAATACTCTGTAGTTTCAGGCATCAGGAATGTCTCCACAGTTCAGGCAAAACAACTGCAGCATGAGCAGGGTCTACAAGGGGAGAGTAACTCTGCTCCCAGTGCTGTAAACCAATTAAAAGCTACTCACAGGAGCCTTTCACACTAAATGATGAAAATTGATAAACAGTTTAGAAATAAATGAGAGTAGGAATTAATATAACTGTCAACCATTTGTCTACAGAGATTAGTGAGATGGGAGAGAAAGGAGGGGACTTAACTGTGGGCTCATAGGGGCCTCAGCACAACCAAGAGAATTGTATTCCATATATCAACATCCTTATTCCTGAGTAACAGACAAGAATGATGACCAAACACAGACACAGCAATCCCAGAAAGCTGGAGCTCCTCTGGGACACACCGGGACATCACACTCCTCAACATGCAGCACACCCTACTGATTCGGGCTGAAGGAACAAAAAGTCCCAACATAGTGCCTTCCAAGGAGAAAGTGAGGTCTTAGAAGAACCCAGTGATTTATGCTGAGTCCAGACCTAGGTGGTGAGTCCTCTGAACAAACTAGAATTGCCATCAAAGGCTCGGGGTTAGAAAATCCTTCATGACTACAGCTGTCTCGACCTTGGTCCTCAGGGGAAGGCACCGTGTGATGACTGAAATACAGTATATGTGGTGCACATGCTCAGTGGTGTCTGGGATTTCATGAGCACTGCATCTTCTGCTTGAATCTGCTCCTTCCACACATTTCTCTTCTTGGTGCTCTCCAATTTCTTTGAGACAGGGTCTCACTATGTGCTCCAAGCTGGCCTTGAACTCACTATGTAGGCCAGGCTAGTGTGGAACCAACAGCAATCCTCTTGCCTCAGCCTCCCAAGTGCTGAGATTATAGGGGTGTGCCACAACACCTGGCCTGGTGCTCTCCCACTTTCTTTGTGGTAAAACCCACATTTTCTCCAACACCATACCAGAGTATTAAAAGAAGTTCCTCAAGGCCAGTTAGAAGGAATATTTGGGTCACCCTGGCCAGGCCTGTCCCCCTCCGTCACCCTTCCTATTGACTCACCCAGTGGCAGCTGCCATGATGCAGCCACCATCCGCAGGGCTGGCAGAGCAGCAGCCTGTGGCATCGTGGGTCATGCCAAAGTTGTGGCCCATTTCGTGGGCTATGGTTGAAGCCACGCCGATGGCATTCTCAGAGTGGTCCTGCTCAGGGAGAGAGTTCCGGTCAAGGGCAAGGTCCAGCACCATCTATCCCTCTCACCCTCAGTCTCCAGCTTTGTCTAAATTCAGCCTTGTGGCTCTCCACTGGTTCCACTATTGAAGGGCAACCCAGGCTTGCCATAGTCGCTTTCTCCAGCAAACAGAAAGCCACGGGCATTACCAGGAGAGCTAGTGGTTAAAAGCTAATGTTTCCTGAGTTCTTAGATGGTGCAGACCATGTCTGTCCCACTGGTGAGCCACTGGACCAGTAAATGCCTTTCCCTATTCTTCCTTGTCACATATGTATCTCTCCAAGACATAGGGCGATGGACAGGAGACAGGGCCACAGGGCCACGTAGGGCAGCCTTGCCCACTCTTTTATGTGTTATACATTTTACGTCCCAGACATGGCACCTGGCATCATGTGTCATTCTTGTCCAAAGCAAAAGCTAAAGAAATAGGAAACAAACCAGCAACCAAATGGTGAGCCGTTGTGAGCACCTACGGCCCCGGTATTTGGGAGGCTGAGGGAGCGGGTCACTCGAGCCCAGGAATTCGAGGCCATTCTGGGCCTTGTCTCAAAAAAACAAAAAATAGAGGCAGCAAAAAGTAATTTCCTAAATATCTATGAGTGTTTCTGGCATCACTTCGTTTAATTCCCATTCTGACCCTAAGAATATAAACTGTGAAATTACCTTTATTATACAACTGAAGGCATCTACTAACTCATTTGAAGCTGTGTAAGTGTTTTCTAAAGCTAATCAGCTGTGACTCTAGAGCCTGGGGTCTCGACAGCTACTTATTCATTTTTGTCAGTAAGTAAATACAGGATGGGTAGACAAATAGAGGGACAGCAGGCTTCCTGATATCCTCTCACAGCTTAGAAATGAATAGCCATAATACTCTCACAATGCCAGAGAGAATTTCAAAAGAGCAATTGCCTATAATTAGAGACATGCCCTTCTTTTGTCCTGGCAATGCCGGACCTGCAAGAAAAGCACTCCAAATTCTCTTCTCTCATTATTCCCCAGCCCCTGGTTTGGAACATAGGAGGGATCTAGATGTGTAGTCATGAGATCACTTCCCAGCTCTCCTGAGCTTGAAAATCAAAAATAAACTACAATAGATGACAATTCACCCCTGGGCCCCTCCATTTCTTAGAACTTAATGACTTCATTTTAAACAACTGGCCTTGATGTCAGGGATTTTTCTTTGGCAGTAATACACATCAGATCCTGCTTTTCACAGGTGACCTCCAGACTCAAGAGGCAGTTTTACTTCCTGAGCGCTGGTGTGCAGCTGAGACTCACCGTGCTGACCCCTCCGGAATGGTGCATGGAGCACATGGTCCTGAGGAAGGCCAGGCCGATGGTGGTGCCATGGAAAGGGACGCCCCTGCGGGAGAGAAGTGGGGGCGGGTGGTCAGGCTGGGGTGCCATCCCCATGTGTCTGCGACTGTTACATGCTCTCTGGTCTCACTGACGTTTCCAGTTCCCTCCCTGGGAGGGAACCCCAGTACTCTGGCCAGCTTTCAGGTCACCACACCTCTCACTTCCTCTCACCTACTCCCTCAGTGCTCCAGGGAAAAAAGAGAGACTGCATGAAAGGTTATGCTTCCCATAGAATGCCCATGCCAACTCCCCGGAAGGAAACGGCAGAGCTTGGAAGCCTCATCCCATGCCTGCTACACAGGAAAAGTCAGAGGGAGGGTTGGGGAAGGGCGGCGCGGGATCTGATGCCACAGTGAATCATGCCCACTTCCCCCAGCTGCCGGGCTGAAGCCTCGCCCCTGGCTCTGCAGGATGGACCCTGGGGAACAGGGCAGGGAGATTAGGCAGCAGCTGTGGGAGGAATGCTCCACTCCCAAGTCACCTCATGGCCAGGGAAGCAGCTGTGTCCCATCGGGAGCCTTGCACAGTACAGCTGGATACAAGCATGAGCTGTTTCTGCCCTTGGCTTGCAGTTTTGACCTCAACCCATCAGTGGCCAGCTATGGTATCCCCAGTTTTAATGCACCCCTCTGTTGGCTGTATCCACCCAAGATAGAGGAAAAGGAATAAATGAAATGCCAGTGTTAGTGTGCATGCCACTAATGTGTCATCTAAAGGATCTCTGGACATTTGTTAGGCGGTACGTGTCTATATGTTTTTCTTCTTATCTAGGCTGTGATATATTTGACTATCTTATTGATTTGAGAATCTCTAGAAACTAGCACAGAATGCGGCACATTACGAGTGTCAAATAGGTGCCGAGCTCAAGGCAGACTTATCTTCAGAGGAACGATCTGCAAAGAAACATGCAAGACACATAACAATTGGTCTGAAGCCCTCTATTGTTTTTTAAACTTAAGCATGTCTCTGAGGAAGTCCTATTGGAAACACAGATTCAAGATTTGGCCTAAAGCATGAAGTCCTCTTGTTCAGGCCAAAAGCTTTGCTAACCAATGGGGACAGGGGTATAGCTCAGTTGTACAGCTCTTGCCTAGCACAGAAGGCCCTGAGTTGCATCCCCGCCACCACCACCAGCAGCACTGCCACCAACACGGCTGTCACAAGTTTTGGTACCCAAAGGCTCTTCCTGGCTAAATGGACAGTCAGAAGCAACCACTCAGAGCCGGGCTTTGGCAGGTGGTAATTCCCACAGTTTCCTGCAGGTCAGTGGCCTATAGGTTGGACATGCCTGGCTTGCTTGAGCTGCACTGAATGAAAAGGAATTGTTGTAGGCACCACATAAAGTATATAATATAGTTAATGTATGTAAGTGATACAATTCCCTCCTTTTACATTTTTTTCTTACAACACAGGCAACACCAAATTCATTGTTAACAGGTTGGACACACCTATAAGGGTCAACTGGGATGTAAATGACTAACTCTGAGAAATATTTAGGAAATGGGTGAAAAAGGGCTTAATATCTCTGTGCATTTTGTTGTATCTGCCTTCAAACGCCTTTGGAAGTCAACACTAATAAATGCCAGTAACTACCCTCAGTGGCACCATGTCTTGTCCTCCTGTGACTCCACCAGTTAGCATGTCTGTTCTCCTCTCCCTAGCACAGATGAACACCCAACCCAGTCCCTCCCAGGGCCACCCTCCCCCCGAGCACATGGCTCTGAATCTGTGTGCCACTGGGTCCCTCTCAGGCATTCAGCACAGTGCCCTTTGGAAGCAAAGGAAGCAGAGATTCAGGAGACCACACCTGCGGCAGGAGATGAGTTCAGACGCCAGAACAAAACCTGTCCACAGGTGGCCATGGCCAACAGCCAGCCACTGCCTGACCACACACACCAGCATCCTTTTTGCTCAATGGCTGCTGCTGGGGTTTTTAATGGAATCTTCCTGAGTGCGCTGGGTCCAGAGCACACGCTAGAGAAACGTCTGCCTACCTGGCCCTGGGATCCAGCAGCACCCATCACTGGGCCAAGACGGCAGGTGCTGAGCACACACACAGCAGGCCGAGGCTTTGCAGCCAAGGCCGAGGCAGCACCCACAGGAGGAGCGCAACTTACGTGATTAGCTGAGCATTGTCGTGGCTCTTCTGGATGAGCAGCTTGCGCCTCCAACTGAGAAATGACAAAAGTGTGGAGTACGGATTCTCTGAAACCTCACACTTGTCCCCATTATTCCACACTTCCAAGCCCACGAGAGCAATCCGAATATTCAAAGATCGGTAAAACTGCAAAGACCAAAACATTGTGGTTTCCATCAATACTATATGGGACTTACCAGTCCCTGCCTAACCCTACAACTCAGAACACAGACTCTAGATTTCTCCCTTGCCCCTGGCTCTGAGGGGAGGAGGGAGCAGGTATCTGTGACATTTTTTCAGAAGGGGAAGATGATGTTCTGAGAGGTTTTCACAATACTCTGGTGGCAGAACTGGGGTATTGTTGCTTAGAGAATGGAAGAGTGAGCTAGGACCTGAAATTGGTTCAAATATATACAGGGCAATAGTATGCAGAAGGGTGAGGATTTCCCCCATGGTCCTCGAGCGGGGGCTGGGTTCAGAGGAAAAACGGAGGGAGATTAAACCTCATAGTACAATAGAAAAAGAAAATTTGAAAAAAAGCTGGTCACAGCTGAGCAATATAATATACACCTACAATCCCAGAACTCAGGAGGCTGAGGCAGATTGCTGTTAGTTCAGGGCCAGCCTGAACTACATAGGGAGGCCCTGTCTCAACAACCCCCACCACCACCCAAGCGTTGTACATGAGCAAGCTCAAAATTGAAATCTACAATTTTCTAATTAACCACTCTTGGTCCAGGTAGCATAGTCCTTATCTTTTTATATGTAATTATAAAAGTTCTCTTGTGTATAGATTTTAAAAAAGAAACACTTCATGAAGCTATAATTTACAGACAATCAAAAACCACCTATTTTGAGCGGTCTACCAATCTTTTGAGTAGGCTTACTAGTGTGCAAACACATTATAACATTCCTGTATTCCTGTTGTTGAGTATGTTCACCATGCCAGTAAGATCTTTCATGTTCATGCATGGCTAGTCTCCATTCTTACTCCTAGGCCAGGTAAGAATTACTCTACTTTCTGTCTCTACAGATTATCTTTTCTGAACCCTTTTCTATTTTCTTTTCCTTCCTTCATGTCTCTCTCTCTCTCTCTCTCTCTCTCTCTCTCTCTCTCTCTCTCTCTC